CACCTGACCGCGGCAGGCTGAGGCCAGGCGCCCTCTTCGTGGCGCTCGGACGGCAGCTCCCTCCCCCGCGGCCCTGCTCGCGCCGCCCCGCGCGGCGGGTATTGTTCGGCGCCGCGGCCGCGGAGCTTAGCCCTCTTAGTTCTCCGCGCTTGGCATTGGCTGCGCCTCGCGTAGTAAACTTGCAGTGGCCACGAATTCCCTCAGATGAAGGAAGCGACCGCGCTGCTCCCCCTTTCTTTAAGTTGTGTCGGGGGAGGAGGGGGAGAGGGAGAGGGCTGTGGGAGGGGAGTAGGCGGGCGGGAGAAGGGGAGGGGGAGGCTGGGCTGAAAAACAATAACAATAAAAAAGTGATCTCTAGCTCGCCCCCTCTTCCCCAGTAGGGCCTGGGCGCTGGACCGGGAATTGGCGGCCGCGCCGCGAGGCTGCAGCTAAATCCGCGGCCGGAGCAAGTGCAAGGAGGCCAGAGCGGGCTCGCCAGTCCCGGCTGCGGTGGGCTGCGTTCGTCACCGCCTGTTTAATTTGGTGGGTGCCACCGCAGCTACAGTCTTTTATTTTTTATTTTTTGTCTACTCCTGTTCCTCTCCCTTCCCCCTGCTCCCCCTCGCCTCCCGCCCCAGCCTCTCCCTCCCTCTCCTGCTCGCTCGCTTGGGCTCCCGGCCGCGGCCTCCCGGTCAAACCGCCCCTTTAACAGCGGCTCCCGCCCCGCCCGCCTTCCTGGCGCAACTATTGGCCGTCGCGGCCCCGTCAATCCGGCGCCCCCGCCCCGGGCCGGCCCGCCCTTCTTCCCCTGAGCCCGGGAGGTTCTCGCTGCCCCGCCAGCCGCCGAACGTGCCTGCGGTCCTGGCCTGCGGTCTTGCAGCGCTTCGCCCGCGCGCCCGGCGCTGCTTCTAGTTCCTGCCAGCCGCGGCGCTCCCGGGAACCAGGCATCAGGCTCCGAACGGGCCAAGTTCCCTGGGTCAAGGCCCTTCGGCCAGGTCAGAAACAGGACGGCACCCAGAGTTCTCATTTTTCCGCAGAGGCCACCTCTCCCCGGGTATCCAATCCGCTCCCGACGGACACCGAACCCGAACACTCCCGACCTCTCCTGGCAGCCAGCTGCCAGGTCGCCTGGCAAGAGGCTCTGCCTGTGGGGAGTTTTCGGGCCTGGGTCCCTGCCGGGAGCGCGTCGCGGGAAGCGGCGAGGGGTGGCGGTCTCCTGCCGGGTTGGCACACTCCCCGCACCTTTGTAAACTTGCTCGGTGGTATTGAAACCACAGGTGCAAAACTGGGCCAGGATAAAGCGAAGCGTGCCCCTTCCTCCCACTCTGGGGACGCCCACCCAGACATCCCCCCCCCACCGTCGTGGTCCCCATCCGCTCCGGGCGCGCTCAGCTCCCTCCCCCCACCTCCCGCCGCTCGCGCCCCTTCTCTGATTACCGCAGTAAACACTGGGCACTGGCCCCCGGGAGGGAGGGAGTTGTTTTGAAGTCGTTTAAAGACTGTGTCACCCTCGGAGTAAATGCCCAGAAGCCGGGGCCCCTGCCTCGATGAGCTGGGAAGTGTGGGGATATCTGCGTTCAAGCTAAGCTGTGGCTGGAATTTGGCTACAGCTCAAACCCTGGGCCTCCAGAGAAGAAACTGCAACATTGGCAGCGCTTAAACCTTTCAGAAGGGTATATATCGGTTCTTCTAAAGCAGGGAGTGCCCTGAGGGCGTTGGCCTGGCTGCGAGGCTACTCCCGCAGCTCCGGCGTGTCCCAGGCCCCAGGCTGACTACTGCGGACATTTCCTGTCCCGCTGCCCAAAGTTTTCGCTCTCGAGGTAACAGGAGAGGGAATGGCTGGCCCGGAGGCTGCGGAGGTGTGAAGACGCCAAAGCCTCAGGCGTCTTCGCCTGGTTGGTCTGGAGAACTGTTTTTATTTACAATCTATGGGAGTTGAAATAAAATTCGAGCAAGTGAAAATTAGCACGATTTCAAAGTTATATATTGACACGAAATCAACAAAAACGCGGGAAGAATTCCTCCAGCTCACTATTGCGGGCAGAGCCTGGCTCTTTTGCGCCGCTCGGACAGCCTCTCCCGGCTTCAGGAAGTCACTGAAGGATGGAGCTGGCTGCACACAGTCCCTGGCCTGAGAGGCCCTGTGCTCCCACCTTCCCGGCCATTTGAGGCTGTGGTAGCTCGTCTGAAAGCACCAGAGTTTGCCTGGAGTCTGGAGATTCTTCCCTTCCACAAAAGGAGGAAATGTACCTCTTTTCCACACCCCTTTCTCTGTCTATAAAAGGGGACAGAGGGCGGGTGCCACGCAGGCCCCCTAGATTGCGAAGGAACAGAGTGAGGGAATGACGGAGGGGGAAAAAAGGCTGCTCTGCTACGATGAATCCATTAAAAATTGCCTGATGCACAGTCTTTCACACTTGTTTACTTTATTCATCAACTTACATGGGGGGAGAGGAGAGTACTTGGAAAGGCTTATTCCAAAAACATTTCCAAAAAAAAAATTTCCTTAGATATTGGTTATGAGAATTGCAGACCTGCACATCCAAAGACCTCACTTTCTTTCCTTCTTTCAAGACACCAGACTTGCAAGTCTTCCTCCTTAACCACTTTCTCACCCGCTCCTTAGTCCTCCCTCCCTCCCTCTTCTCCGTGACCCATTCTCTCCTTTCGCTTTGATTCCTCCTTTGCTGAGCCAGCGTTTGGGGCTGCGCGGCTGGGCTCTCGCTTGCGCTGGATTCCGGGGCGGACGCCTTAATTCCCGCCGGAGACCCCGCGGGCTGGGCCCTCCTGGCTATTCTTTCCCGGCTCCAGTTCTCTCTCTCGGCAGGGCACAGAGAAGCTGAGCCAAGTTCAAAGTCACGTCGCCTTCTCCTCTCAGAAGTGCTTTATTTCTCTGCAAACCGCAAAACCCCTTTCCTTCATGACACAGTATATATATTTTTTAAAGGCAGAAAAGCGAAGAACCAGCCAGAGATAAAGCAAGGGGAGAAAAAACTGCAAAGACTTTCAGAGTTATTGCTTCAAACGTGGACTCAAGTTGCCTAGCTGTAGGAAAGGAAAGTGGCCAAGCTGGGTTGTGTGCACTGTGAGTGAATTCAGTTTTTCAACAGGTTTCTGAAAAGACCAGTCTACAGTGGTGTCAGGCCCTCAGGACTGGCAGCTGTCTCCATCCTACAAACTCGTTCCTCTTAGAAAGTTTCCCAAAATTGTCCTGTGGAAATCTTAAGGAGCCTGGGGCTGGCAGACATTTCTCCCCAAGTGAAAAGAGTGACAGCACAATTAAGGATTAAGAATTCAGAATTTGGGCTATCTTCAAAAACTGGAAAATCCTCCACATATCCTAGTGAACCTCTGTGAACAACAGTGTTCTCTGAGATCTTTTTGTAGTATGATGTGCATTTTGTGTACCTATACATAAATACAGCTTATGTAAACATTCTCTCTCTCTCTCTCTCTCTCTCTCACACACACACACACACACACACACACACAGAGGTATGCATTGCTGGATAAGAGAAGCCAAAACAACAAGCAAACAAAACTGGCCTTTAATTGGAAAGCAGAAGCATTTGGTGGCCATACCATTCAAACTTTTAATTTTCCTCCCAAGGAAGGGGGTGGAAATGGTGGTGGTGGTGGTGGTGGGAGATGGGGCGGGGGGAATGTGGAATAAGCTATCTATATAAACTGGACTAAAAAAATAACAAATTAAAAAGGATTTCCCAAGATTCTAGCACCATCCTCTGCATCGCAGACTCATAAATTCAACAAGATCATCAACAGGATATTAAGTTGCAGGTCACCTTTGATTCAGCCTTCCCAGCCACTCCTGGGTTGGGTGACCCCTGACCCATGAAGGACCACATGTGTGGTGGGGGAGCTCCCTGGTAAAACCCACCTAGAACAAAAGTTCTTTGTCAGGGCTTTAGAGATGTGTAATGTAAAAGTAAGGGAAATTGTGAAAATCTCGGCCAATACTGTAACTTTTAAATACCATTTTTAAGAAGGGGTGGGGAGTGGTTGAGTAGAGTTGTCATATGACAAGGCCCTCTCTAGTCTGCTAAAAAAAGTCTTTTCTTCATACAGTTAAA